TTTTTTTTTTCTGGGGTGAGAACGATGGCACTTAGTCGCCATGGCAACAGCAGCTTTGATGTGATCATGGCCTGATATTTCTATTGACATCAGTGTGGAGTGACATCAGTACCTAATTATGCAGAGCCGAAAAAGGACAATGTCTACAACCTATTCCTGGAGCGGAAAGAAAAAAAAACAGTCAGCGAGACAGACACAAGAGAGAGAGAGAGAGAGAGAGAGAGAGAGAGAAAGGGATGAATGGAGGCAACAGAGGCAGATGATAGGAAAAAAACATGAAAGATGGAAGAAGAGAGAAAAGAGGAAAAAGCAGAGAAATTGAGAAACAGCGGTAAAGAGACAGAGAAGAGCAAAAAGGCAAGCAGAGAGAAATGGGAGGTGTAATGCGGCTCGACAGACGGAAAGAGAGGAAAAACATTCAGAGGAGTGGAAACTATCTGTAGCTTGTTCTCGCTCTGAACTAATGGGAAGATTTGGACTGTTGTTGTTGATGCCAAACTGATTTAGCTGGAGGCCGTGTTACACAGACAGACTCCCGGTGTCAATCAATCCTCCAGACTGCAAACACACAGCCATCTAATTCATTACAGCTATCTGCCTTGGCCGTCTCTCTTCTGGCATTACATCGCCTCTGGCTGCTCGCTCTTCCCCGCCGGACCCATCCAAACCAAACACGGCTCTAATTGGCCACAGGCCCCCGACCCCCCTGTGGCCCATAATGTCATACGTACACTCAACCACACACACGTGCTCTTCTTCACGTCTCGGGCTGCGTCGTCAAAATGATGCATTTAATTTGGAAGACTTTATGCATTTTTATTGCTTATTTACGCGTCATCTTTATGTGCATTTCCCTACACGTGCAGTCATGTCATCTTCTGAGGACAAATACGTACATAGGAGTGAGGCGGGAGAGGCTCTTTGTCGTCGCAGCGCCTCCTCTTGGCCTCGGCTCCTCCCTGCGAGGAGGAGTAGCCTCCGGACGGGCCCTGGCGCTCCTCGGCGGGCTGGCTGTCTGTCGACGACACCGACTTGCTCTGGAGGGAGAACAAGAACATGAACACAAACCAGCAGTGGCTCACAGAATCAGAGGGGTGGACTACGAAGCCAGACAAACGGGCTAGCCGGGTAAGTAGAGCGCAAAGCCACAGATCTCCTTTAACCTGCTAGGTTACCATGGTAACTGATGCTGCACAGCTAACCTGGAGGTTCAGAGTTTGGGATCTGAATCACTAGTTCTTCTCAGCTGAGGTTTAATCTGCAAACCTGTGGCGCTGGTTAGGGCTACGCTACGCTAATCCTACTGAACAAAGCTGTATCGCAAACTGTATGCATCGCCATGGAAACCTACATGCATCCAGGTGGTGATGCAGAAACTGCATGAATACGTTTCAGATTCTTGGTCCTGAGTTGCTGCTAAGTCCGTTTTACGCTGCTGGTACTGCAGCTCATAGAAAACAGTAGAACTCGGTTTGATTTGGTCAGAAGCTAAAATGATTTCCACTCCTTCTGGGACAACGTCAGACCATAAACGCACTCCTTCAATCCCATAATTAACAGAATAAAGGTTAAAGTTAAAGACCTCGAATGTGCAGCTGTCACTCTGGAACAAAAAAAAAAGCAGCTGCATTCAGAGTCACTGAGCGGTAAAATAAATACATTAACAGTTTCCTCTCTTGCATCACTTGCAGCAGCAGCAGCACTTTTTACCCTAATAAATTTTTATATTCTTCTCGGCTCTCCTTATTGCAAGCTGCTCTGGCTGACAGGACCAGGAGGCACGCCATTGGTTGGTTTTGTGTGGAAGACGAGTCAGATGACGCTTTAAATGCCTGCTTTTAGCAGAGCGGTCACAAGGAAAACCTGGCTGATAAAGACAGTCAAATATCTTTGATTTGGGGGTTTGGGTTTTGTTGAGCCGGCTAACTCAAGGTAAGCCTGGCTTTGTCAAACGTGCTTCGTAGTGCAGCCCTCAGAGCACAGAAAGGTGATGAAAGCCACAGTAATCACACAAATGGATGCATCCTCTGTACAAAAACCAGCACACGTCCAGTTCTGCCAATACGCAGATAAAACACAGAGACGTACAATCGCTGTGCAGACAAGAAAAAAGCTCACATTACCAGAAAAGCCCCATAAAAACACACACGATAGCATCTCACACACACCAGGAAGAGCCGACGTAAGCACAGGTTAGGACGCAGTCACAGGAGCACACAGGACGGCCTGTACAGCTAATTAGTGACCACCCCCCACCCCCCAGCACAGCAGCCCTCATGTAAAATATGACTCTCATTATTGGCCAATAAAGCTGTGCAGGCACATTCACAAAGCAGCCTGTCCTGCTGCTCGCAACAACCCCATCAAAGCATTGTTTGCATGGGAGCAAAGGGGCCAGAGGTTGGGTGAGGGCCACTTGTCATTCTGCATGCCCCCGTGGGGAGGACGGGAGCAGCGAGGGCTGAAGTGAGTCACACAGGAAGGAGCAGAGCCGCACAATGGAGCTCAGTGCAGCTCCACACACTTCCCTCGCTCCTCTCTTTCTTCTCTGCACTTCCTCTCGCTGTCCCTTTTTTCCCCTCCATTTAAAATTCTAGCATGTTCTACCAGCGTGGGCTCCTCCGATAAACGCCACTTGATATGCATCTTCCTCCCCCACCCCCCCTCTCTCTCCCCCGTCTCCCCCCGATGCTGCTCGGCTAAGTTCAACACAAACCACAACTCATGAGAGAAATATTTTCCCGGTGCTTAACTATCAGCATTGTGTTTCGCAATTAAATTATGCTGGGGATTTCACTGCCGATAGAGCGCGAGGGAGGAGAAAGTAAAGCCAGCAGCGCTCTTAAATCATTTTCATTCCACAATAAAAGTGAGAACAAAAGACTCGCTGGTATTTTTAACAACATTCCCCACTTTTCTCCTCCTCTTTTGGTCTCTTTTTTTTCCCCCTCGCTCCTCACCCGCAAGTGTTTCCCTGCCTTGGATGTAAAAAGTCACGACCAAATGTTTGAGAGGAAACTGTAACGTGATCACCGAGGTTCTGCTTTATCTCCTCTACGGATGCTGGAGACGGGTTCTGCTGGGATACAGTTCTGTACAGACGTTTTTTACTCTTTGGGGAGTCACAAAGGTCAACGTGATAGTAAAACGTTAAAAGACAGACAACTGGAGATAAAACTGGAATGTGATCACTGATTTAGCTTCTCTTGCTGCTACTGATGCATGAGACGAGTTTGTAGGCTATGAAAGAACATTTCAGACTCCTGTGTGATCGCTGGGTTCTGCTTTATCTTCTTCATTTCTTTACCTAACTTGGCACAGAGTAAGTCTGGATTAGGAAACACTTCTGGGCAGATTCGGTTCATACGCCGACTGTGAAAGAATGTTTTGGATGTCAGGGTGCGTTTTTCACTCCTTAAAGGGCTGCAGAGGTCAGCGTGATGAAAAGAACAAGAGCTGAAGGGAAAACTTATGTGATCACTGATTTCTCTGTTATCTTCTTTACTTACAGATGCACACATTTAGTTTGGATTAGGAAACACTGTTCACTCCTTACAGGGTCACAGAGATCAGCAGCTAAAATGAAAACCGTAATGCCATCACTGACTTCTGCATCAGCTCCTTTCCTTGTTGGCTCCAGACACAGATGCTCAGGTTGAGTTGTGCGACTGTGAAACTGCACGTTTTCCCTTTTTGAAGAGTCACAGATGTCAACAAGACACCAAAAAGTTCAAAGACAGGAAAACTAGAACGTGAATAATGATTTTTTTAATCAGCTTCTTTCCTCGTAGATCAGTTTCTATCAGGAAACCGTTACTGTCCGTAAGCAGACGGTGGAGCTGCACTTTTTCACTCTGAAGTGGCAGCACTAAAGTAAAATGTAAGTTAAACATCACATTAAGCACAACAGGCTGCAGGCTGCAGGCTCAGGCGGTCCAACTGGTCGGGACCAGGCTGAACAACATCTTCGCTTCACCACAGCAATGGCGGTTGAGCAACTCTGAGCGACTGCGGCGACCTCGAATCAAACGGACCTCAGCGCTGACCTCATATGTTTAGGAGGAAAAAAGAAGCATGAATTGTTATTTTCAGTGAGGGTTTCCACAGACGGAGCGTTTTGGGCGGCGCTCTGCCATTAACCGCTGTTATAATCCTCCCACTTGTTCTGTAATTCTGCTAGATTACCAGCAACACTTGGTGGTGCTGATAAACAAACAGTTGCTTGTTCATCCATTAACTCAATTTGTAGGCTCTTCCAGATAACGGCGAAATGCGGTGAGCTCAGACGTTAGTGCGATGCGGAAAAACCTTGAGGAGCTCAAGGTTGATGGTGATGAGCAGCTATTGTGCCGGTGTCGAGCTGCGCCGCTCCTGGCTCGGATCCAGATGCCTTTTTTTCTCTTTTTTTTTTCAGAGGCCACTTTACAGTGAGTCTCCATTTCCCTCAGTTTGTCACTGTCACACACACACACACACACACACACAGAAAACACTCCTATCACACACATACAGGACTACTCACCCTGCTGGGCGCTCCCTCTGGGCGGAGGAAGGGAAGGAAGGAGGAGGAGAGAGGGATGATGGAGAAAAGGGGAAAAAAGAGGAGAAGTTTGACGTCAGTCCTGATAATAACAACAACAGTGAGCCAAGGTTAGGCCCGACTACGGCTGCTTCTCTCTAATAAAGACACAGACCCTCTATTGTGCCTGACTCCAGCCTCCTCTCTATCCTCTGTTCTCCACCCAGACAAAGCTGGCTGTCTTCCCCTGCTGCCTCTTTCACTGCTCACTATCTCCTGCACTCGTTCTTCCTCTCATATGTAAGAACAGAAACACACACAGCTGCAGACATGCATAAGCTCTCACACAGATGCTTAACACGACAATACGAACACATTGATCTCTCTGTCTCCCTCCCTGCTCGTACTTCTTTCTCTCTTTTTCTTTCTAACTCTCGGTTTATTCATGAGAAAGTCTCTGTTGGCTCGGCGCCTGAAACAGAGCACAAAGATAAGATATTCCAGCGGGGTGAATGGGAGTTCATGGGGAGAAAGCATTTCTTCTGCATTTACACAAGCGCCGTGAATACATCTGTCCATATTATGACGGCAATCTAAACAAGAAAGTTCAGATCCGGTACAAAAGGCGAGTGGCTGCACAAATTAGGAAAGAAAAATAAGAGCCGCCTGCCACGGATGATGCACGGCGTCGCTTCGCATTTTATCTGCTCGAGAAATGATAAAATGATGTTTTTTCCTCTGCAGCTGTCAGAGTTTTCCTTCACACTGACTCCTAATGTCCATCGAGCAGGATATAAATTAAACTGAAATAAACACCAGCGGCGCAAAAGTAAATGCAGAAAGACAAACATTTGCATCCTGGATAAACTCCCAGAGCTTTTTTATTCTAACTCTCCTGCACCGAACTTTTCAGATTGTTCAACAGCATGATGGATTTTTCAGAATCAAACATTTTGTGTAAATGATTTTTATTGTGGAGCAATTTAAGGGCTGCAGGACGTTAAAGGGCAAAAACTTCAGCATGAACCAACAAAATCTGAACTTCAAATCAACTCTTGCAGCGCGTCTCTACGGTCTCCTAAAGTTCAATATCAGAAACAAAGTGAGACAGTTTTCACATTTTTACCGCTAACATTTGATTTTATTGCTCAGATTTTAATGGTAGCTTCGAGTGTTGAGGAGACGATTTCATCAGAAAACTGTGCAAAAAAACAAAAAGCAGCCGACAGCTGGTTACCTCTGAGGTGTTCAGGGTCGAGGTGGTTGCGCTCGTCTTTGGAGGCGAGGTGGGCCGAGACCCCCAGAGCCCCGGTCAGGGCCAGGAGCCCGGAGCTGCCCGCGCCCAGGGAGAGGCCTGACGGGTGAGGCGTCAGGGGGATGCCCGGGGCGTGGTGAGACAGGTGCTGGAGCTGCTGCTGCTGTGGCCACAGGGAAAGAGGGGAGCCGGGAGGGAGGAACGGGGGAGGGACGGCGACACACCGGGGAGGAGGTGGTTAGAAAAGAAAGAGGTAAAATCAGGGAGAAGTTGGAGGAAGGCAGCGAGAGAAACATGAGAAAGGAGGAAAGGTGAATGAAATGAAATCCACGTGGAGAGCTCAGCGGTGAGAGAGGAAATTAAGTTGAAGGTAGATAGGATGTGAAAGAGATTAGCGGATTAAGAGGTGAGAGAGACGGACACCGAGGATGAGGAGGAGGAAAAAGGAAGAAGGGAAATTGAGTGATCAGGATACACGGGGAGGAAAGCAAAGGCAGTGGAGATGGAATCCAAGAAGTGAATGAAATCACGGCGGTGGGATTTATTACGAAAGGAAAAAAGGGCAGGAGGAGGAAGAAAGAAGAAGGGCCGAGGGAAAAGGCAAGAGAGAATAGAAGAGAAGGAAGGAAAGACGTTTGAGCCGGAGAGCAAACGATGAGGAGGAACCGGGAGGAAATGGAAGCAGCGAGAAGTGAAGGAGAATTGGATGAAGAGGAGGAAAAGGAGAGCGAATGAGAGCAGGAAGAAAAAAGGAAGGAGAGTGTTCAGCAGCAGCACAGAGCAAAGAGATAAGACATTAAAATAAAACAATGGGAGAGGAGAAATGAGGACACGGCCAAAGGAAGAGGATGATAAAAGATTATGGGGAAAATCCAGAAAGAAAATGTACAGAGAAAAAAAAAGAAAAGGATGGAGAGAGCAGAGGAGCAGCTACAGATAAAGAAAGGCTATTATCCTGAGGGGCGCATTATGATGTGTTTCTGTGTGTTGTTTTGTCAAGCCGGTGTATTACACACACACACACACACACACACACACACACACACACACACACACACACACACACACACACACACACCTTAGAGACAGCAGTGTTTGTAGTGCTGGGAGGAACAAAGGGCTTTAAGTAGACAGTAATGTGATCAGCGCTCTGACAAGCTGTGGAAAGCCCCGCCGACTCCAGCACTCAGGAGCATCACCGGGTCCGTGTGCATACATACAGGAAGCACCACGTATGTGCAGCGTGTCGGTGCACCGCTACACGGGAGGACAGGTGGATTTATTTCAGTGTGTAGAACGCCGGCTCGCTGTATATGTTGATGCATTATGGATCTGAGTGATAGTTTACATTAAATCTGAACATGAGCAGAACAGAAACCTTGAAAATGAGCTGAAATGTGAAGTCAGAGTGACCAGCGGTCTGATGAGTTTTACTGTCATTAGATTTGATCGTTCTGATTGAAATCACTAATTTCTTTCTCTTATTAACCCTCTGAACCCCAAATCCACCAGCGGGTGTGACGAGACTCGTTATCTGTTAAAGAAATGATCAAAATTATCAGAGCGAGAACAGGATGGATCATAACGTTGCTCCACTTCTGGACGGGCACTGGACCAGTTTATGGGTTTCTTTGAGAATATTAACCAAATCTTAGCTTCATCAGAATCACTTTATTCTACATTTTTTCATTTAAAAAACTGCAAAAAATAAACAATCAGCACTTATGATGTACAAAACTGAGACTGTCTGTGTCCCACTGTGTAAATTCTCCTTCTCGGCTGAGCTGCAGGCTGTGTAGACGCAGGAGACACATTTAAATGTCTGAAACTAATTTAAAACGTACGTCGTAAAATATGTCTTATATGTGGAGCCACCATTTATTCCCACCTGTTGTACAAAACCAAAGAAATCCCACATTCGTCTTTTTCCAACAATGCAGCACCATGCTGACTGTGTCAGTGCACCGGAGACATTCCTGGGTTCTGCTCCTAGCCATGGTTCTGCCGGGTCCATAGAGGTTCCCGATTTTAGATTCAAGCGAGAAATATGACAGGAACAAACAAACAGCGGGACCTGCTCGGGGTTCAGAGGGGTTTTTCAGAAAAGCACTCCAGTGTTTAGACGCTTCCCGCCATGTTCCAGTCAGAAAGGCGACTCCACTCCTTTAAAGCACGACTTGCTCATTACAACTACAAGCAGCCAAGCAGCGCAATAAATGAATGTAAGCAGTGATTCATTACATCTTGCTTTACAAAACTGGGAACAAAAAAACAAAACACTAAAATGAAAAAGCTGCTGCGACGGCGTGTTCTTCAGGTGGAGACGCTGCTGAACGTCTGATTCCAACAGGATGGCTCACCTCGTCAACAGAAAACACTCAAACACCAACACAGCAACAAATAACTCTTCAAATGTCAGCGCTCGGTGAGAAAACAAACCTGTCCAAATTGTCCATTAGCTGCGTCGGTTCCTCAGAGGTCCTCGTCACTACTAAAACAATCCCTGTCTGATTCAGCCTCCAGGCAGCATCTGGAGGCGGCGCCCTGACCGTCTGCTTTATGCCTCGCCTATCTGAGGAACATCTTCGTATTTACAGGCCAGTAAAGGAACTATTCATATAGAAGTTTAGTTCCTAATGTGTGTGTGTGCAGGTGTGTGTGTGTGTGTGTGTTGACGGATGAAGGTGACTCACCCCGATAATGGCGTTGAGCTCAGCCATGGTGACCTGCTTGGCCCGCTCCACGGCTTGGACCACCTGTTGCTGGTGCTGCACGTATACAAACACACAGAGAGAGAAAGTCAACAGGAAGGTTATGCTGTGGTGGTTTTATCTGGTGCTGCACAAGTTTCAGTGTCTGTAGTGGAAACACAAAGGAAACGAAGGACGTAGCTCATTTCTGCTTCATCTTCTGTTTCCTCAATAAAGCTCCAAACTATCCACAGCATGTGAGACTACGTAGAGCAGAAGTCGAACAAAAGGCACCAACAGAAAAACATACAAATAAAAACAAAGAACTGAATCTGTGAGGGTATTTCAAACAGTCACTCAGAAACAAGGGCTGTAGCTCCTAGCTGGGTTTATTACTGTATAACATGAAGCTTTATATTCTGTCTGCAGAAAGAGGAAGACAGGAAACCTTCAGTGATGATGAGGTCAAGCATACGAGGTGGGTCAGAAAAGTTCCAGGACTGGTGTCACAACAGATAGACTTCAAACCCAAACTCCCAGTGTTCCTCTTCCCAGTAACCCTCCTGGAGTCCACCACCCTCCTCCAGCCTTCTCTTCACTCCTGGAAGGATTCTCCAGGATCCTCTCAGCTCCGTCCTCACAGCCATCTTCATGTCGTCCACGTCTTCTAAACGGGTCTCCTTGATGACCCCCTGAGCTTGGGGAAGAGGAACCAACCCCACGGAGCCAGGTGGGGTGAGTAGGGAGGAGATGTTCTTCTCAGCAGGAGCTGTGGGATGCTCAGGGCGCTGTGAGCAGGTTGTCATGGTGACGCAGCCTCCACTGGTCCTGACACAACTCTGCCTCTTCTGGACGAAGCAAACGCTGCAGGACCTCTGTAGACGAGCTGGTTGATGGTCTGAAGGAGAAACTCCTGGTTTGGGTTTGAAGTCTATCTTTAGTGACACCAGTCCTGGAACTTTTCTGACACACCTCATATACACAAATAAATAAAAACAAAATTAACGTATGAGGATATTTTAAAAAGAGGGTCATAACTCTCACTTTGGGGTGTAACTGTTTCTATAGAGCCTCATATCTGTGTCCACAGAAACTCAAATGTTTGGTGCAATCAACAAGTAGAGGAAGAGTGACGATAAAGTCCTGCATATATACAAATAAAGCCACATAAATAAACTGAATTTAATCTACGAGGGTAAACAAGGGGTGTAGTTCTCACTTTGTGGACTATGCAGCCTTATATCAGTGTTTACTAAAACTTAAATACTCCAAACAACCAAAAATAAAAAGGAGAGCAGAATGATCAGTGATGATGCACGCTGCTGAGAGAACCTGGAGGCTCACGATGTGACCGTTAAAGTTAATTATGTTGAAGAACAAAGTTCTCCTGAGACGCTTCCTGGTGAGAACTTTGTCAGGACCTCCGTATCTTCTACAGGAGAGTTTACTGCAGTCCAGTCAGTGATCAAACAGCAGGAACCACGACATGAACCAAACCTGACCAGAGGAGTTTTTCGACCCAACTTGCTACAGGCAGTGTAAATAGGAATGTCTACATCGAGCAACCACGCATTCACAAAACACAAACACCGGCAGAAAGTCGCACAAACAGAAGAACAGCCAGACACGTACACACTCGCGCTGCTCTGCACACACACTCGACGCCACACTAACTAAAAATCTCAGCTCTGTTTACACAAAATCCCAGTGTAATCAGTCGCACAAATGCAAACATACATGTGTGCGACAGCGGCTTGCACACATACCCACACAGAGACGACGCCCAGTGTCAATATTGATCAGACTGACTGAGCTGTGACCTTGCTGTCTCTGGGTAGCACCGCTCAGCAGCACACACTCAGACAAAAAGAAGAAGTGTGTGTCTGCGGCTTTGTATCCACACCGTCTACACACTCACACATAAAGCAAGCACACACACACACACACACACACAGTGGAATAAATCTAATAGAAGGCTTCACTGTCTTTTAATCCATTTTGTTGTCTCGCCTGCAGTCAGAGCAACAATACAACAATATATTCATCTCCAATAATCCTGCTCCTCTCATTCATTTAGGTTTTACTAAGCAGATATAAACTAGAATTTAACTTGAAGACGAGATGCGCAGATAACTGACTGATGAGACGGCCCAGAGCACCTTTAAATAACGTCTGTATTCAATCTACACATAAGGAGATTTATATGTTCCAAAAACAGTGTAGCTTATGACCGTGGACGTCTTCTTCATGTAGAGCTGGTTCTGAAGCCATACGGAGGTGAATCACTGACACCAGTGGTCCAGCACCTTCTGCCTTTGGATTCATCATTCAGAATAAAAACCACACATGAAGCACATGAAGGTGACAACATGCTGACGTAACAGGTGTCCTGCCAGACATGAGAGAAATTAAGATGAATTTTTATTAGTGGGGAAGTTTGCAAAGAGACCAGCCGACTGTTTGTCCTGTTAAATCATAAAGCAGTAGCTCTGATAATGATGCTTCTAACGAGGGGAAGACTGTCGGTCAGGCTGATTATCAGATCCAACAGTCAGGACTCCACATTATCAGGTTTGTTTTATTTCTAACAGATTTCTGAGAGAACGAGTAAATTTATAAACTCGTTACTAACAGTCGCCTCTTTCTGCCTCAGTCTGACCTGCAGCGTCACCTGATCGATCACACAGTTCACAGCCGATCAACACTAACTGACTGTTAATACAACCTTTTTAAAACATCCATCATCTCTACACCTTCATCCTCACTAGGGTCATGGGGGGCGGAGTCTATCCCAGCTGACTCAGGGTGAAGGCAGGTTCACCTGGACAGGTAACCAGTCTATCACAGGGCTACACTTAGAGACAGACAACCAAGCACACTCACATTCACACCTACGGACAATTTACAATCACCAATTAACCTCAGCATGTTTCTGGACTGTGGGAGGAAGCCGGAGAACCCGGAGAGAACCCACGCTGCACGGGGAGAACATGGAGACTCCACGCAGGAAGATCCCGGGTGTCCTCACCGGGACGCCAACCGGAGACCTTCTAGCTGTGAGGCCACGGTGCTAACCACTGATCCACCTGCAGCCCTACTTGTAAAACATAAATACACAAAAAGCTTTGCACTGGATTTTTTTTTGGCTTTTTGCAAATTTTGACCTCAAGATCTTCATTTTTGCTGCAAATCCGTTGTAAGTACGAGCTACCAGCCTCATCGATTAGTAAGATTTAGCATCAATTGACCCTGAAATTTCCTAATTTCCTGCTCCTGACTGACATGTATGTGTATGTACACGTCAAGGAGACAAGATATGAAACTATTAGAGTTTTATAGACTGATTGAATTCACACATTCGGCCCATTCTTCTGAATTCAGACCAGCTTTACAACAAACTGACTTATTTAATTTACAGTCAGCCAATTGTTTAATTTAACTCATATATAGGACAGATTCATGGATTGATTTACTCTCTTTTGTGGCCACAAACGCAGACTGTGCACTAAACAGGCTTCATTAAAATCAGAAGAGGCTGACAAGTGAATACTGGAAGTTAATGAGCTGCATCAATTAACACTTCAGTGCAGCAAATTAGAAACTATTGTTTAGCGTCTACGCCCTTTAACGTGCTCCCGTTTCTATATGTGATGTGTTCACGTTGTTCTCCGCCGACAGGCCCGCGGCGTGAACAGTTGACTCCTGTTTGCATATTCGGTGTATAAGCGTGAGTGTCTGGCAGCGGTGACACTTACCTCTTGAGAGAGGAAAGGGATGATCTGAGCACAGATGGCACTGAGACGCTTGACAATCTCCGCCTGTGATGGAAAAAGAGGAAGAGACAGAAGGAGAGAGAAGAGAAAGGGGGGGATATATAATCATGTCGCATATTGTAAGATCATAAGTACACAATGAACGCGGCGCATACGAAGCACCTCTACAGCACATTAAGCCTTCGTTGCATTTAAACGCCTCCTTAATGAGCGAGGAGTTCTGTCGGCGACAGCTCTGAGGAGGACGGGGTGGGCAGCAGAGGTGGACGGATGGAGGCAGCAGCCCTGCTCGGTCTGCTTTAGCACCTCCTCATTTAGCTCAACACGCTGCCGTCAGCCTGTCCAACAAACACCAAACCTCACCAGCGTCTCCACCGTCCGCTGTCTGGAAACTCACAGGATAAAAAATAATACAAATACTTTGGAAAAATGGCATCTTTAATTCTTCACACGTGGCAAAAGTAGCTCGCAACACACACACACACATGCACACACACACACACACACACACACACACACACACACACACACA